TGACATGCAAGTATGCAAATCAGATCTGCAAATATGTTGAAGAGTCAGTGTTGTGTCTGTTTGGATAAACTTCCTTGTACAACTGTATTCCTAATACAAGAACACTGTCAATCACAGAACTATTCCAGCGAAAAACTTCTGATATTTTAGTCAGTAACAGGGCAAAGATACCGTTTGTCATACAAGTACTAGCACCAGATGAGGAACTGAGGACTGCAATGATCCTTGGTGTACATTACATGTACCTGTGTCAACAACTTTACTTCCCATGTACTTCATGTACAGATCTACATGTAGTTTGTGGCCCTGAATTAGTTCCAATATCTCTAAATAAGGACAAGAGTACTTCTCATATGACAATGATACAAATAAAGTGCAATAATATAAGTGAAAAATATTATAAAGTTTTTAATATCATACATTAATATTAACAAATCGTGTGAAATTGAACTTTTATGTACAGAGAAACACATATTTATGCTTTGGTTGACGACCTGCAAAACTTTATACAATTGTCAGTATGCTTTTGTAATATATGCAGTTTCAGTGGCTTTGCATTCTGAGAAAAAAATTCTGGCTCTGCACCTGAAAAAAACAAAAAAAACATTTAATCAAAAGTAAGCAGAGGTTGTAGCATATGTGCTTCTATTAGCTGTTAAATTTAACTAAAAAAGATATTTGTGTACTGTCTTTTCAGTACGAAAAAATATTACTTTAATATATTCATACCAGCCAGAAAGAAATTGCAGTTTTCACTGAGCAATTAGGAATATACATGGACAATAATTGATGCATGTCTAGCAATATACTATTTGAAAGGCTGCAAGATGTAATGATATAGCAACCAATCACTACTCGAGTTGGACTGGCTGGAAAACTGCACAATACATACAAAATGTATGCTCATGATATATGAGCAGCTCCACCAAATATAAAAATATTCTTTCCATAGTTATGACTCTAATGTGAATGTGATTTTCCACTCCTTAGCAATAGTAGTTAGAGTATTGTATTGTACTGTATCGTACAAGTTTATTGTGATTCTAAACGGTAGCTTACTTGTTTTCGAAGTGTTGTAATTGTTGATTAGTACTCAGTAGTGATTATATTAACATACAAAAAATAAATTCGTTGAATTGTTATGAAATGCAAGTAAAATTCAACTTAGTTTTATCGTAAGCAAATGTTTTCGGTTACATGTTAACGCCCAAAGCAATACGATATCCGCCATGTTATCCTTCGCACGAGGCGAGTTTATTGACCAGATCGGTCAAGTCGCTAATCAATCCATCAAAATGCTGGATGGTGCCCATGTGCTCAAATTACCATAAAGCATTTAAATATGACAGTTCAGCGACCTCATGGTGAAAGCAACACGGAAGACCAGATTTACCGATGTTTCAGTGCGATCTTTTGGCTTCGTTTTTCATGGGGAAAAAGGCATGATTTTTTGTTAATCGGGGCGATTTAGAAAAAATAAATAAACGTACCGTCCCAAATAAGAATGTACCGGGTGGAATTTTTCTGTGAAAAAAATAAACGTACGTTTATTTGGGACATTTAGCGTTGTGAGCAAGCTCTCCTGAGTAGCGACATAAATTTAACTTCGCCCACAGTCCCTCTATCACGATAGAGGGACTGTGCTTCGCCTATGGCGTGATCAGTGGATTACGTAAATAAACCAACACTTTCAATGAGTACATGCCGACCCAACTAAACTTGTTTATGGCTGTTTATGAACAGCGAGGACGTATCTCATAGAACAATAGCTGTGGAAATCATAAACAAATGTAAATGTTGCAGAAATCAAGCATGGCGATAATGATTTTGA